TCCCTTGGGGGTGGTGTACTTTGCCATGGAATCTGAATTGTCTGGAGGTGCCCTGGTCCCTTCCTGGATCTCCGAGAAGTGGGCGGGGTGTCCTGCAGATGATGGGTGTATCTCCAGAGGCTGCCTGTTGGTTCTGGGAGGTAACAGCTGAAGGAGGTATGCTTTGTGGCGGTTTCCAACTGCCCTTTCTTTTGTCCGCTGAGGTGGCTCGGTTCTTTGATGTCTACCCAAAAACGATCTACGCGACACCCACTCCCTTTGCGCACTATGTTTACAAGTATGCAGTGGACTGAATTCTTTTCCCTACAATTGACATCTTCAACTGATTATCTTTCTGCCCATAGTATTGATAAAGCTCTTTTACGACACATGGCCAAAATATATCCTTTCACGCTCTTCGAAGCAGTACACACATCATTACAGTTCAGTTTTCAGAACAAGCTCATGATCTTTCCCATATTACTTCCATAGATAACATTCCATTCACTGTTCATAAGCATGCTACTCTCAGTTCTTAATGTGGTACAGTGGTTTTACAGCATACCATTGTACAAAGTGATTTTCTGTCTTGCATCGATGATATTTTAGAGGAATTAGACCTTCAGGACCTTCCTAATCTCAAGTTGGATACATACATCCTGCCCGCTCGCAGGTGGAGGCACTTTCCTAGTAGCATCACCTGCTTAACCTTTGACTGCCATGAACTCCTGTCCTCCATTTATATTGCGGGCCATCGTCTTGAAGTCCATTAAGTAGTCCCTACTTCCCAACATTGTTGGGAAGTAGGGACTACATTGCTGCAGATCTGCAGTGGAGTGCCCAGTCTGCAGTGCCGCAGATCATGCTGATGCATCTTGCAGTCTTCCCCCTCTTGTCTCAATTGCTATGAATCTCATCTTTCCTTTTCATGCCGTTGTCAAGTCTGTCATAATAAACAAGATATCCATTATCTTAAAGAGAATGAAGGCCTTACTACTGCTATGGCTGTCTCTCAGCTCCGCCTTCAGGGAAATCTTCCTCGTGTTCCTTATTCTTGAGTAGCTCGGAGACCTCCAACCTTGAGAGTCCTCCTACCAGGTTGGTCTCAGACATTAGTAAAGGCCCATTATTTGTTCTACACCCCTGCTTACTCCGACCGTTTTCTCTTCATCGTCACTCACTCCAGTCTTCTCTCCACTTGTCTCCCTTGTATGTTCACTTAGCATCTGCCTATTCCCTTCCCCCTTGGGAGGTTCCAACAGTTCGTGTCTGTTCTCCCCTACTGCCCTGCGCCGAAACTTTCCTACCTATGACTGCTTCTCGCTCTCTTTTTCTTGATTACTTCCGATCGCATGCTAATGCTGTTGCTGTTTATACAGATGATTCTAAATCTTCTGATGGTGTTGGGTTCATGGCAGTGTTCCCTGACAGTGCTGTCCGAGGACATTTGTTAGACTCAGCTAGTATTTTTACTGCTGAGTTGTATGCCATCCTTATAGCACTTCTCCGTATTTCATATACATATGTCTCCTTCGACGTTTGTGATCATTTCAGATTTCCTCAGTGCCTTACAAGCCATTAAACTATTTGATTCCCCTCATCCATTAATCCTTCGTATTCAACTATGATTGCACCATGCGGCTAGCAAAAACAAAGACCTCATTTTCTGTTGGGTCCCTGGACATGTTGGTGTGCAGGGCAATGAACAAACAGATGCTGCTGCGTGGTCAGCGGTACATGAGCTTCTGGTTTCCTATAGAGGTATTCCATTCAGAGATTATTTTCCAGTCATCTCTGCCCGTCTTCGCGGCCGTTGGCAACAACGGTGGTCGGGCATGCACCATAACAAATTGCACTCCATTAAACCACTTTTAGGTTTGTGGCCATCTTCTTACCACCATTGCCGTACTTGGGAGTCTGCGCTCTCCTGTCTCTGCATTGGCCATACTCGCCTTACACATGGGTATCTCATGGACCGACACCCTATTCCTCTTTGTGAGGTTTGTCAGGTCCCTATTTCGGTTCCTCACTTTCTTGTAGATTGCCTGGTTTACCAGCGAGCTCATGGGATTTACCTCCAATGCCACTGCCGCCCTACCACTCTTACCTTATCTTTCTTTCTTGCAGACAGCCCAGCCTTTGACTTACAATCACTTTTTGACTTTTTGTCAGCAACTGCATTACTATACGAACTTTGACACATAGCCCTTAAAGTCCCTTCCACCCACTTTTCTTCCCTCACCTCTGATCCCCTCTCCACCTAGCTGTTTATAGACCCAGCACTATTTTCTGCCTCGCAGCGCTGTATGACCCTTGTCAGTTTAGCACTTTCTTTCTTTGATTATAATAATCTCAGTACATATCGCTCAGTTTTCCTTTCTTATTATCATCCCATCTTGTTGGATATTTATCTTGGCATCCAAATGAAGTGCAGGTGATGCTGGTGAAGCAAAGAAGAAAATTAAGTTAACTAAGGTAACTGAAATGCTGATGGGTGGTGCATGTGTTATAGAGATGGCACGAGTGTTTGGTGTTAGAGTATCAACGATGTTTTCAGTTCAGGCCAGTGAGAGGAAGATAAAAGTTTGTGCAATAAGTAAGTCTTAATGTGACGCAGTGAAAAGAATGAGAAATTGGTCATTACAACTAAGTAAAGCAGAAAGTTTACTAAATGTGTGAACTGAAAAAAAAACTTGATGCCCTTATTATTAGGAAAAAAGTCTTACCATACCATAAAACAGTGTGTGAAGAGGGAGGACTCCCCAAAAATAAGTACACATTTTGTTGTGGATGCTTTAACCAGTTTAGAATATGCAGTGGGTTGCATAATATAAAGTTCCTTGGGGAGAGTGACTCTGCTGACCATACTGCTGCAGAAAAGTTCCCTCCCAGCTAGCTAGCATTATTTCTGAGGGTGGCAACAAACCTGAGCCGGTGTTTAATGCTGATAAGACGGGGTTGTTCTAGAAGATGCCATCTAGAACATACATCAGCAAATGAGAAAACTTCTGGATTCTATGCTGCAAAAGACCACTTTGCCTTGCTTCTTTGCGATACTGCGGCAGGAGACTTTAAATGTAATCCCATGCTTGTTGCCTGTTATTTGGAAGTCCAATGCCATAGCATGGGGTGACTGAGGCCTTCTTCACAGAGTGGTTCAAGCATCACTCTATTCCTGAAGTGAGGATGTACCTGTTCCTGAAAAATATTACATTCAGGGTTCTTCTTGTCATTCATAATTGTCATAGTCATTCTCAGCTCCTGGAGGATGTGGAGGATGCACTCCCCATGTCAGAAAAGTATGGGATCATGTACTAAAATCAACACAATAGATGCTGTTTGAAGAAAATTATGGCCAGGTGTGGTAATTGATTTTACAGGTTTCCCATAACTAGAAAGTTAGGTTCAGGAATTGTTGATCTGGCAAGGAGAGTGTAAGGTGAGGGATTTGAAGATATGCAGCCAGACAATAACAGTGAACTAATGATGAGGAACCAATTGCAGATGAAATGTTGCAGGAAATAAATTCCCAGATGCAGAGAACAGAAGGCAGTGAGGATGAAGAACCTGAATCTGAGCCTGAATAACCAGTGCTGACACTGCAAGAGATACATGAGTTATTACATGCTGTTACAGACTTGTTTATTGAAAAAGACAAAAACTCATCTCAAAGCATGCTCTGGGACAGGCGCTTGGGCTTTATCGTATGTTGTATAAAGAACTGCAGGGTAAAACAAACCAGAGTATCTGAGGACTCCACTACTACAATCAATTGATGAAGCTGCATCAACATCATAAGATTCTCAACCTTTACATCACATCAACCCCAACCATCAACCTTGGCTCAGTTGAGCCACAGCCACTCTCTCCACTCACTCCAGGATGCTAAAGAACCCCAACCCAACTTGAAGAAAAGTAGCAAATGCTATACAGTATTAATGTAGCTATTTTTAAACTATATGTACTCTTCCTTTTAATTGTCTCAACCTCACTAGAGTTCAGATATTTCATTGCATCCTCATCAAAAAAAAAAATTAGGTAAAAAAAAATATATATATATATTTTTTAAAGAATTATGTTAGTAAAAAAAGCTTGGTTTTTGGAGGTCTGTGGAATGCAGCCCTATTTTTCCCATATGTTTTTCATTCCATTAATTGCAGAGATCATTGATAGCGCAGTTTTCAGGAATGTATCACGTGTGAATTTGGGACATCCACTGTTGTACTAAGGAAATGACATTTTCTGTTTCCCACCATATTCTGCAAACGACATGAATTTTTTGTTTTTTAACTGCACACATATAAGGCTCACACCTGTTTTCTTTGATGCAGACCTAAGCAGGCCATTGGGGACCATTTTTGAAGCTCTTGAATTTTGGTGTATTTATTCGTCAACTGCAGTTTCCCTGGCACATGTATATATACAGTTTCAACAGCTTATGGGTTAACCTGTATGAATTTACTCCTGTCTGCTGATGCACTCACTAAAGCAACGAAACTCTGGAAACTTCTGCAAACAGCCTTACTGGATTCAGCCATAATTATGGACAGAACAACTAATTATTCCCTAACTTTCAACATTTACATCATTTCAGATGCTCTGCTAAGAAACCAAGAAACTAAAATTCAAGCTGTATAAGTTTTTGTAATAACCTTATTAAGTAAAAAGTTTGATAAAATGGGAAGTACAAATTGCTCTTGTGTGTAAAACATCAATACAAGAGTAAAAAACTTTTAAAATAAAACTAAATCTCTACAACTCATTCAGTCGTGTATAGTTATTAGCATAAAAATCACAACTGAATAATAAAACATCCCATGACATAAAACGCACATTTAGATGTCTTAACAAAAATGCGATTGTTAATTAATTGCAAGTTAGGCTTAATGTATTGAATGCACTCGCAAAAAAATTCTCTTAACAGTAAGGGTAATTTAGAAAATCCAACATACTGATCATGAAAACAAATTGTAAGAAATAATGGAAAATGTTTCAAATAATATTTGCCCTCTGTTTTCCAGGCTCGTCGTCAGGGTGAGATGGTTCAGAAACTAGTACATATGATTGGCAAGAATGTCAAGCTATATGACATGGTTCTCCAGTTTCTACGCACCCTCTTCCTTCGTACACGATTCATTCATTATTGTTCCTTGCGTGCAGAGCTCCTCATGGCATTACATGACAAAGAAGTTCACGACATCATTGCAGTTGATCCGTGCCACAAGTTTACTTGGTGTCTAGATGCTTGTATCAGAGAAGGAAAAGTTGATGCCAAGAGGTGAGCCAATATCTGTTATAATAATTTTATTTTCCCATTTTATGTTAAAAAATGAGATTACTCATTAGATTTTTGTAGAAATGGTGCCTTCATGTAAATTAGTACTAATATTAATGAATTGTACTAGGTAGTTGGTTGGTAGACAGCAACTGCCCAGGGAGGTACTACTGTCCTGCCAAGTGAGTGTAAAATGAAAGCCTGTAATCATCTTACATGATGGTAGGATTGCTGGTGTCCTTTTTTCTGTCTCATAAACATGCAAGATTTCAGGTACGTCTTACTACTTCTACTTACACTTAGGTCACACTACACATACATGTTTTTTTTTTTTGTTTTTTTTCAACAAGTCGGCCGCCTCCCACCGAGGCAGGGTGACCCAAAAAAGAAAGAAATCCCCCAAAAAGAAAATACTTTCATCATCATTCAACACTTTCACCACACTCACACATTATCACTGCTTTTGCAGAGGTGCTCAGAATACAACGGTTTAGAAGCATATACATGTACGCATAAAGATACACAACATATCCCTCCAAACTGCCAATATCCCAAACCCCTACTTTAAAGTGCAGGCATTGTACTTGCCATTTCCAGGACTCAAGTCCGACTATATGAAAATAACCGGTTTCCCTGAATCCCTTCACTAAATATTACCCTGCTCACACTCCAACAGATCGTCAGGTCCCAAGTATCATTCGTCTCCATTCACTCCTATCTAACACGCTCATGCACACTTGCTGGAAGTCCAAGCCCCTCGCCCACAAAACCTCCTTTACCCCCTCTTTCCAACCCTTTCGAGGACGACCCCTACCCCTCCTTCCTTCCCCTATAGATTTATATGCTTTCCATGTCATTCTACTTTGATCCATTCTCTCTAAATGACCAAACCACCTCAACAACCCCTCTTCTGCCCTCTGACTAATACTTTTATTAACTCCACACCTTCTCCTAATTTCCACACTCCGAATTTTCTGCATAATATTTACACCACACATTGCCCTTAGACAGGACATCTCCACTGCCTCCAACCGTCTCCTCGCTGCTGCATTTACCACCCAAGCTTCACATCCATATAAGAGTGTTAGTACTACTATACTTTCATACATTCCCTTCTTTGCCTCCATAGATAACGTTTGTTGACTCCACATATACCTCAACGCACCACTCACCTTTTTTCCCTCATCAATTCTATGATTAACCTCATCCTTCATAAATCCATCCGCCGACACGTCAACTCCCAAGTATCTGAAAACATTCACTTCTTCCATACTCCTCCTCCCCAATTTGATATCCAATTTTTCTTTATCTAAATCATTTGACACCCTCATCACCTTACTCTTTTCTATGTTCACTTTCAACTTTCTACCTTTACACACATTCCCAAACTCATCCACATAACCTTTGCAATTTTTCTTTAGAATCTCCCATAAGCACAGTATCATCAGCAAAAAGTAACTGTGTCAATTCCCATTTTGAATTTGATTCCCCATAATTTAATCCCACCCCTCTCCCAAACACCCTAGCATTTACTTCCTTTACAACCCCATCTATAAATATATTAAACAACCATGGTGACATTACACATCCCTGTCTAAGACCTACTTTTACCGGGAAGTAGTCTCCCTCTCTTCTACACACCCTAACCTGAGCCTCACTATCCTCATAAAAGCTCTTTACAGCATTTAGTAACTTACCACCTATTCCATATACTTGCAACATCTGCCACATTGCTCCTCTATCCACTCTATCATATGCCTTTTCTAAATCCATAAATGCAATAAAGACTTCCCTACCTTTATCTGAATACTGTTCACATATATGCTTCAATGTAAACACCTTAATAATAAGGTAAAAGGACCCCAATGGAAATAAGTCCCTCTGTCAGACTTTTTTGGGTTATCCTAGGTTCTTTACACATATGCTGCTATGTATGATAATTCTATGTAACTGTATTTGTGTATACCTGAGTAAACTTACTTACTTACTTAATCTACACATCCCCTACCCACTCTGAAACCACCTTGCTCATCCACAATCCTACATTCTGTCTTACCTCTAATTCTTTCAATTATAACCCTACCGTACACTTTTCCTGGAATACTAAGTAAACTTATTCCTCTCTAATTTTTACAATCTCTTTTGTCCCCTTTCCCTTTATATAAAGGGACTATACATGCTCTCTGCCAATCCCTAGGTACCTTCCCCTCTTTCATACATTTTTAAACAAAAGTACCAACCCCTCCAACACTATATCTCTCCCTGCTTTTAACATTTCTGTCATGATCCCATCAGTTCCAGCTGCTTTACCCCCTTTCATTCTACGTAATGCCTCACTTACCTCTCCTACACTTACATTCTGCTCTTCTTCACTCCTAGAAGATGGTATACCTCCCTGGCCAGTGCATGAAATTACCGCCTCCCTTTCTTCCTCAACATTTAAAAGTTCCTCAAAATATTCTCCCATCTATCTAATACCTCCCTCTCCCCATCTGCTAACTCCCCTACTCTGTTTTTAACTGACAAATCCATACTTTCCCTAGGCTTTCTTAACTTGTTTAACTCACTCCAAAATTTTTTCTTATTTTCATAAAAATTTCTTGACAGTGCCTCTCCCACTCTATCATCTGCTCTCCTTTTGCACTCTCTCACCACTCTCTTCACCTTTCTTTTACTCTCCGTATACTCTGCTCTTCTTATAACACTTCTGCTTTGTAAAAACCTCTCATAAGCTACCTTTTTCTCTTTTATCACACCCTTTACTTCATCATTCCACCAATCACTCCTCTTTCCTCCTGCCCCCACCCTCCTATAACTACTAACTTCTGCCCCACATTCTAATACTGCATTTTTAAAACTCATCCAGCTCTCTTCAACCCCCCACTACTCATCTTTGCACTAGCCCACCTTTCTGCTAATACTCGCTTATATCTCACCCGAGCTTCCGCCTCCCTTAGTTTATACACTTTCACCCCCCTCTTACTTGTTGTTGCCACCTTCCTCTTTTCCCATCTACCTCTTACTCTAACTGTAGCTAAAACTAAATCATGATCCGATATATTAGTTGCCCCTCTTTAAACATGTACATCCTGGAGCCTACCCATCAACCTTTTATCCACCAATACATAATCTAACAAACTACTTTCATTACGTGCTACATCATACCTTGTATATTTATTTATCCTCTTTTTCATAAAATATGTATTACTTATTACCAAATCTCTTTCTTCACATAGCTCAATTAAAGGCTCCCCATTTACATTTACCCCTGGTACCCCAAATTTACCTACTACTCCCTCCATAACATTTTTACCCACTTTAGCATTGAAAGCCCCAACCACCATTACTCTCACACTTGATTCAAAACTCCCCACGCATTCACTCAACATTTCCCAAAATCTCTCTCTCTCCTCTACACTTCTCTCTTCTCCAGGTGCATACACGCTTACTATAACCCATTTTTCACATCCAATCTTTATTTTACTCCTCATAATCCTTGAATTAATACATTTATAGTCACTTTTCCTGCCATAGCTTATTCTTCAACATTATTGCTACTCCTTCTTTAGCTCTAACTCTGTTTGAAACCCCTGACCTAATCCCATTTATTCCTCTCCATTGAAACTCTTCCACCCCGTTCAGCTTTGTTTCACTTAAAGCCAGGACATCCAGCTTCTTCTCATTCATAACATCCACAATCATCTCTTTCTTATCATTTGCACAGCATCCACGCACATTCAGACATCCCACTTTGACAATTTTCTTCTTATTCTTTTTAGTAATCTTTACAGGAAGAGGGGTTACTAGCCCATTGTTCCCGGCATTTTAGTTGACTTTTGCAGCACGCATGGCTTACGGAGGAAAGATTCTTATTCCACTTCCCCATGGATATACAGTGGACCCTCGACCAGCGTTGGCATCGATTAACAATAAATCTGACTAGCGATACATTTTATCCCAAAAATTTTGCCTCGATTAGCGCTAAAAAACTCGACCAGCACTATTCGTTCCGTCTGAGGCACGTCCACTTCTGGCCAGTGTTTACAAGCCAGCCAGCCACCGCGGTCGCTTCCAAGCATACAATTGGAACATTTCATATTATCACAGCCTTTTTAGTGATTGCACCTGCAAAATAAGTCACCATGGGCCCCAAGAAAGCTTCTAGTGCCAACCCTACAGCAAAAAGGGTGAGAATTACTATGGATATGAAGAAAGAGATCATTGCTAAGTATGAAAGTGGAGTGCATGTCTCCGAGCTGGCCAGGCTGTACACAAAAACCCCAATCAACCATCGCTACTATTGTGGCCAAGAAAACGGCAATCAAGGAAGCTGTTCTTGCCAAAAGGTGCAACTATGTTTTCGAAACTGAGATCGCAAGTGATAGAAGATGTTGAGAGACTGTTATTGGTATGGATAAACGAAAAACAGATAGCAGGAGATAGCATCTCTCAAGCGATCATATGTGAAAAGGCTAGGAAGTTGCATGACGATTTAATTAGAAAAATGCCAGCAACTAGTGGTGATGTGAGTGAATTTAAGGCCAGCAAAGGTTGGTTTGAGAGATTTAAGAATCGTAGTGGCATACATATTGTGATAAGGCATGGTGAGGCTGCCAGTTTTAACCAAAAAGCAGCTGAAAAATATGTGCAGGAATTCAAGGAGTACATAGACAGTGAAGGACTGAAACCTGAACAAGTGTTTAATGGTGACACTGACAATGTTGTGAAACACTTTAGGAATGTCATAAAGGAACGGGAGGTACAGGCCTCTATGGGCAGATATGTTGTGCGACAGAGGTCCAGTGACTCTCAAGCTGGTCCTAGTGGCATTAAAAGAAGAAGGGAAGTAACCCCGAAAAAGGACTTGCCACCTCAAGTCCTAATGGAAGGGGATTCCCCTTCTAAACACTAAGACCATCAACACACTCCCCTCTTCCCATCCCATCAATCATCACCAGATCTTCAATAAAGGTAAGTGTCATGTAACTGTGCATGTCTTCTTC